ATTTATGTACGTCTATTTAGTATTCATCATTTCAACTCTTTCACGTTGTTATTAATATCTAGAAGCGAGTGGTTGTAGTCTGTCGTTGCCTTGACTGAGTTAAAAGTAATGAATTAGTGAAAGTAAATTGTGACCTCGTAAAAATTATAAAAATGATGAAATGAAATTTTGATCAAGTTAAACTATTTAGATTTTTTCTTCAAGACACCCAAAGAAGTAAAACGGAAAGCTCATAATAATTGTTAATAAACTTTCAATTTATCTATTTTATTTTAGACTAAAAAACTGTTCAATGTTAATAACTACAACAACAATTATTATAATAATGTTAAAAAAACAAATTAATAATTATAAAATACGTTTATACGTTTATAATAATATGTATAAGGTGAAAACATAGCAATCAAAATAAAACATCAGAATTAAAGAAATAAAACAATGGTGGTAAAATCTGACTGGAGAAAAGTGAGTAGTACTTATCTCCACCGCAACCATCTTCTCCACTTTTACATTTCAAATTGCAGAATTTAGAATTCACAGCGTACTTAGCCCTCGCCACGCAATAACATTCATTTCCTTTCTAAATTGAAAAAAAACATCTTTATTAACAAATTATTACTTTGTAATACAATTATTTCAAACGATATAAATTAAAATAATTAATAAAATAAGAAAGGATAGATTAGGATTTTATATTTGACTAAAAAACTTTAAAAATCCAGTTCGTTTCAAATATTAATAATTAATGAAATTAATTTTCAGATGTCAACACAAATGGAATGATAAAATGAAAACATGTGCAGCAAACTTTCTATAAATATCCTACTCATCCACTGAAGGCACTTCAGTCTAGGGCTACCACAGGTACAGATGAGTTTGGACAAATTAAAATATTGAAAGTTAAAGAAAAACTAATGTCCGGAAATATTTAAAAATTGAACAAATTTCGGCTTTTGTTGATATTGCGGGATAAACTGAAAGTGAGAGTGGTTAAAAGTTGTAATCCAAATCCCTCAACATAGCAGAAACAGAGTATATTGGACAATAAAGAGCTGCCCGATTAAGTTGCAATTAATTAGCTTTTTTGATTACCTATCTAAGGCTACTTGTGTGATTTTTATTCAAAAATTTGTAATGTTAGAACTTTTTAATTATATTTCAAGTTGAACAGAACCCTTTCGTCAAATCTTAAATACTTCTCAACAAATAATACGACATAGTGGACAACTCCAAGTTTTAATTTGAACGTGCTTCAAACAAGAGGGCGATTAAGAAACGCTACTTATATCTTTAAAAAACAACGAGCTTGGAAATCGGTTTTAGAAATAAAATAATAAAATTCTTTCAACACTTCAGAGTCAATCACTTTCCTACACTCCTGTTGAATTTGAAAGTATATACCACGTAAATAACGATTGAAGGTATACAAAAAAAATATAATTAAAATCAATTTGAAAATATTGTCATTATTTATTTTAATTTTTGTTTTCATTCAATGGTCTTAAACAATTTTAGTATTATTGGGAGATAAGTTATATTTAAAACTGAAAGCAAATTGATATTTAGAGAAGGCACAAACATGCAAAGCTATGTAGGACGTAACTTCATTCCGGCATAACATTTTACAGCCTTCGTAGGAGTCAACAATGCCAGCGTTCACTTCAACAACTTCTCGATAGCAGCCGATGTATGTTTCTGTGGCTTCTGAATGAATCAAAATATTCATTAACATTTTTAAAAATTATCAAAAAAAGAAAACCTATTATGTCAACTTTGTAACAGTGAAAATATAAATTTAAATTATGTTATTAAACACCTTCGTAATAATTTTTTCTTACAACCATTATTTTAGCAATTCTCAGAAGTTTTAGCTGCATTATACGTGGATCAACAATATACACACACTGAAAGTGATGAGCGGAGAAATTCTTGCTTTTGAATCCAGTCACTGTAACAGCAGTGCCAGGCATTTTAACCGTTACACCATCAATAAACCTAAACAAAAGTTAATTCTCTCCTTAAAAAATACCCTCATTCTTAAAACACGTTTGAGCAATAGTATATATCAATACCCGCTTTCCAAACAAATATATAATTGATTCATTAAGGCATCATATAATTTATTTTTATACCCATTTACTCCAAAAGCATTGACAACGCCCTTTTCTAAACGGTTCCAAATGTTTAATATTCTATTATACCAAAATATTTTTCTCAAGTGGCAGCCAAACAGTAAAGAGTATTAAATACTTTTTAAATACTTTAAACTTTTTGTTCCAAAAAATAACTGCGGGAAGCTGTATGTATTTGAAAACTTATTGAATAAGCAGTCATTTTTTGGAATGTCATTTACTACGGTCAACAAACTTATCATATCGTTATAACCGATCCCTTGAACTTGTAGGGTATGGTTTTTTCTCTCTACGTGGATTCTTGACTCCTGAACAGACTTATCTCAAATGACTTTATTAGAAAAAAAACAGTGCTGGCAATCATTTGTGTGTATTGCTGTGATCAAACACCCGTTTATTCAATCGTTAGAATACATCACACTAACTAGTCGAAAGGTAAATCACGGAATACAACTATTCGTCAGTAGTTAAGTTTCTCTTGTCAGACTGATTACATTGAGTTCTCTAGTCCCGGTATTCTTTACTGCAGTGAGTTTCCAGCTATCAAAATCTTATTTCTGTCACCAGTGTGTAACCTCCTGAAGATCCCACTTCTACCACCAGTGTCGTAACCTCCTCGACCTCGTAACTACCAACACCGATGTTATAGCTTCAATACTCGCTATATCTCCAACACCGTGTTGTAGCTTCCAACGATAGTCAAGAGTTCGTTTATCCGTAGGTTCAAGATTTCCGATAGATGAACACAACTACTTTAAACGCAAACTAAATTGAAAGTTTATTTAATACCAGCAGTAATAGAAACAGTAAATTAATCCAAATAACTACGTAAATCAAATTTATGACTTCTACGTCAACTGTTGTTCCGTCTTCTTCTTATGTGTCTCGTGGCGTTCTTTATATAGCTACCGATACCGTGTCACATGACATTTGTTACAACCGTTTTAATTATTTACGCCTTCTAATTAATTTGCAAACGCTTCACGCAATTTCTAACTACTAGTTCTTATATCGGCTTAACGACTGTAACAATATCACTAACTGTATACAGTAGCGGATCTAGAGTGGGGGACGGAGTGAGTAATATTTGTGTTAAAAATTAGTAAAAATCGTCGTTTTTACGAAAAAGTAGTGTTTTATGAAGAGGAAATTGACATTATAAGACCATTAGCATATTGTTAATTATGTGTATTCATATACACATGCATACATACATGCAAACAGATTTAAAAGCATTTAAAAGATATATTTTTAGCAAAAGCATTTAACTGAAATTGGACATAATTTAAAAAATTGTATTAATGTAAAACAAATCTAAATAAAAAAATTGATTAAAAAATTATTTAGTCAAAAAACTATGCTAATTATCTAAATGTTAGCTTTGAAAAAGACTTTTCGAACTGATAGACCTTGGGACTTTAGGCAAGCCCAAAACTTAGTCATATGAACTATTAGAAGAGTAGATAGAAAAAAGTGAAAAGAGTGTCATACATTTAAAAAAAGATAATTACATGTGTACAAATAATGTATACAAATAAGATTTCTTTAATTAAAGTGATTAAAGAAGAAAAAAAAGATAAAGTCTTAGGATATATAGTGATAATATGAGATAAAGTGGTGAAAAAATAATCTTAAATAAAATAATTTAATTATCAAAAAAAAAAATTTAACCAGCACTGAAGAAAAGATAAACGCAGAGCAAAACCAAGAAACTGGTGCAACTATTTGCTGACATTATTCACTTGAGGATTGTGGTAAACGGCTTCATTGTTTTGTTTGATGTTTAAACAAAATCAAAAAAGATCTTGTCTTCTCAAGAAAGCCGGTAGACTGTGCCAAACCACAGGTCCAGAAACTGCAATATTTTGTTATCCAATCTGTAAATTCGTTGCTGGCACAACGGGTGATATCATCTGATCTTCTAAAGTGTGAACCGAAAACCGATGTCTTTTTTATGAACTTGCATGTCAAATACTGTGGTGTCAAGCCATGTAATGACCGAAACATTAACATAGCAAATCTGAAAATTATCTTCTCAATTTTTAGCCAGTGTAGTTTGTTTAAGATTGGAGTCACATCATCAAACTTTAAATTTTTTGTGACAAGTTTTGCAGGTCGTTTTTTAATTGACTGAAGTGCAGCTATTGACTTGTCATGTAATTTAAAGTACAAACTGCTACAGTAATCCAATTTAGATGTAACAAAAGCATGTACCAATGTTTCCATGACAGATCTGTTGAAAAAATGTCGAATCCTGTTTATTCTCCTGAGATGTATCATACTTGCAATTGCCAGCGAATTAAAATGATCTTTCATTGAGAGTCTGCTGTCCAACCAAACGTACAATTTTAAGGCTGTAAAAACAAATGATATCTCAACGTCACCCACCTCAACCGAGTTTATATCAAGCTTCGACAACTGCTGCCATGTACCAAAAGGTAGCATCTGGGTTTTACTCGATTTAACCACAAGGAATTGCTCAACATCCAACGTTCAATACCCATCAAATATCTGACAAGACTTTCAATCACAAGCTAAAATGACTCCGAATGACCTGTAACAATTATTTGTATACCATCTGCGTACGCATGACCAACGAGTCCATACAAAGTTGTTTTAATTATATCCGCTGTATAGAGCAAGACCAAAACTGGTCATGATACTGATCCCTGAGGAACACCTGTTGTTAAAAAAATTGTTTGCCGAACTTTTACTTAACATCTTATTGGTAACATGCTAAAGATTCTTTTGATTTTTGTTACTATTTACGATATTGTTCCAATAATATGTACGCTTGTCAAAAAAGTTTATTTTTAGTCTTCAATGAGCGCGCAGTTTCTTTGAGGCCCAATTTTCGGACAGTTCCTATAGATTCTTTTCATCTTCCTACAGAATCGCCTCGCACCTCTACACTCGCTATCAAACGAAGGTGCAGCATTTGTCTGTTTACGATAAATCACCAGCATAGGCACCAGATCGTCAGAAATTTGTTTTATTTCACTACTCAACAGAGCAAGTTCATGATCAACATCATCAGTTTGCATCATCAGTTTGGCATCTATTTGCCACATGAGGATTTGTTAGTGCTTCAACAAAACATCTTTCATTCAGGTCTTTCCACGATCTGATATAAGCTTTCACCAACCTTGGGCAAACTTGATTCAACGCCACTCTCCCACTTACATAGCTGTGATCTGATTACACTGAACACAGATCACACTTCGTATCAAGAATTGGAAACTCATTAAAACAAATCACTAGATCTAACGTAACTCCACACACAGGCGTTTGTTGATTAACATGATTCACCAGCTGGAACAAATCAAGTTTTTCATGTAGCGGTAGAGTAATGGGACTATCCTTCTTTTCAACGTGGATGTTAAAATCGCTAATAAATACAACATGAGTCTCTGACATCGTAAAAAACTCCAACATAGAAATCAACTCTTCAAAGAATACTGAAGCTATCTGTTCCGAGCCAATTTTATAGAGGGCAAATAAACAGAACTGATCAGTCTCAATTTTCAATCTGATATATATATATATATATATATATATATATATATATATTGTTTCATATATAAATGAAACAATTTCATCAATGTCAACTTTGACGCTCCACCCATCGAAGGTCCGATTCCGGACATCACAGTAGAGGAGCTTACAGAAGCTCTGAAAGCTATGAAGAATGGAAAGGCAGCAGGGTCCTCTGGACTCACAAATGACATTATCAAAGCATCTGGTACTGCAGGTATCCAAACGTTACTACAACTTTGTCGTGAAATGTGGAGAAATTGCTCAATGCCGACTGAATGAATCTATAGCATGACAGTTCCGCTATACAAAGGCAAAGGGAATCTATTGAACTGTTTATCATATCGGGGTATACGTCTGTTAGAACATTCCCTGAAAATTGTCGAGAAAATCATTGAGAGAAGATTAACGTCGTGCATCACAATCGGAAATTATCAATTTGGTTTCCTAGCGGGGAAATCAACAATTGATGCAATTCACATCTTTCGGAAACTGCAAGAGAAGTACCTCGCAAAGCATCAACAACTATCACACATTTTTGTAGACCTTGAAAAAGCATTTGATCGAGTTCCCCGTGAAACAATCAGGTGGAGTCTACGTCGACAACTCATTCCAGAATATCTTGTTCGACTTGTTCGACTTATGATGGAAATGTATACGAATACTAAGACTCTCGTCAGCACAACGGTTGGAAACACAGATGCATTTGACATCGGCGTTGGAGTTCACCAAGGCTCGATTCTCAGTCCACTGTTATTTATAACTGAGATGGAAGAAATCACAAAACCGATACGCACTGGTGACATTTGGAATCTAATATATGCTGATGATATCGTTTTAACAGCCACGTCTGAGCAGAATGCAGCACAGATGTTTGAAGATTAAAACACCAGACTAGCCGATCATGGATTCAAAGTCAACATCAGCAAAACCAAAGCAATGAACA